ATTTTGCAAGCAAGCCCAAAACTTTTCCCTACTTTTTAACCACACATTTTCCAAAAAATAACTATTCAAACCCTTTTTTTTTTTTTTTTCCCCAAAATAATAGCCGTGGGCTAAGTGTGTCTGGCTTATTTGGTCTCTGTCGTTGTTTGATTAACATGTTTGTGTATCTTTGATTTGCTTGAGTTCCGGATATTATCTCTCTTATAAACACTGTGTGAGGGATCTTTACCATGTCTTTCATACACCAGATTGAGATTTAGATTAAATTCATTCTAAACATCCATAATTATTTGGTGAGCAGGAGGTTTTACTATTTCCAGCCATGAAACCACAGGATGATCCTTCAACCAAAGACAGGTATAAATTTTACTCTCTAGCCTTGTTGCTGCATTTTTGGTGGACATCTTTTCCCTGTTGGTTAAACTGATAATGAACAAGACAGTTAATATACATTCAAAACCAAATTACAAAGCTTGCTGCTCAAATTGTGTCTAATCATAGAAGCGAACCCTTCGGTTGCTTCTGCTTCATGGGACTTGATTTGGGCAAGGGAAGCATTAAACTTTTAGTGGTAATTTGGAACTATTTGGAAATAAAATTTGATATCTTATCTTTTGCGTGTTCCAAGAATAAGAGAGTTTAAAGTGGAATTCTGTTTGGCTAACTCTGTTTAAATGTTTATTAGGCTGTAACAAAGCGGTGTAATTGGATAATTTTTGTAAATATCCAAGTAAACCAAGGGGCTTAGTTGAGCCATAATTTCTTTTTTATTTAAATCAATGTATTTCGACTAAACATTACAATGAACTTAAAACAGCATAAGCTTACTCCCATACGAGGACAAAGTTGATTACAATTGATTATCCACTATTAATGCTTTAGTGCCCAAATTAGACAGTAGAATTACCTTAGTTTCTTATACTTGTTTGGCGTCATCATCCCTTTGTTAATAAAAATTTGCCACTACGTCCCTGTGGGACACGCGTAGGCTTGTTTTAATAGCTAAATTTATGGTACTTTTTGCATGAGATTCATCTGGATTATGACATGCTATAATTTTCTGGATTGCATACAAAAAGATGTGGCAAAAATATTTTAAACTGGATGCGTGAATTTTCTCATCAGCTCTTGTAAAAGTCACTGTCCCTGCATGTTTTTCTTATGTGGCAAAAATATTTTAAACTGGATGCGTGAATTTTCTCATCAGCTCTTGTAAAAGTCACTGTCCTTGCATGTTTTTCTTCTTCATTGTAAGCAAGATGGCCCCATTTATTATTATTAATCATGCAAATATTTACCCTACTTTTTGCAGCAACAAAAAAACTCAAGATGAACCTCCTTCTGAAGGTACGTAGTCTAATGTGCTTTTTCAACTAAAGTTTTTTTCTTAAAAGCACATGGAGGCATGCTATTTGTTTCCTGATTGTTGTTTTTGTGCTGAGAATTCACCTCGTAATTTATATTACTGTATTGTTTTATATGCAGAGCTCAAAAAGAACGTCACGCTGTCTTGAGATTGCTAAAGTTAGCTGCTGGAATTCTGAACGCCATAGAATAGGAAAAATTAATATTGGCCAATTTCTGGGCAAAGTTACCTGTCTTTTATTTTATTGTGTGGCTCGACATTTAGACATCAATTTGGTCAAGTCAATTCTTTTGCATCTCATACATCCATGTCTGCGTGCACAAGAGTTAGCCCCCGCAAGTTTGTGTTGGCGTGTATAACATTGGCCATTATAAACTGGATGTGTTTTTACCATTTCTTCTTCTGCTGGTGCTTTCTAGGTTAGCTATCGAACCAAAAGTTAGCCCACGCAAATCAATTCTTTTACTGAATTTTGCTAATATTGGTAACAGTTATTGACGAAACAGTCAAATTACATCTGTACACAAATTGAACTATCAAAATCCGAGAATGGGTTATTAGTGGATGATGGCTGTGCAACATGTTCCACCACCGGACGAAGTTGATGATATTCTTAGAAAATCACGGT